GGGGGTGGGTGGGACAGCTTAGCTAGAATTAAGGATTTTCTCAGGGAACTTGTTAGAGAATTGGGGAACGAGACAAACAATGAGAGAGTCAGTTTTGAAGCCATGGGCCTGTGTTCTCCATGCTGGCTCCCAGAAAGGTGTCTCTGTTTTTGGGGGTAGGTGGGAGCCTTGGCCACGATCTGGGTTTTTAGTGTAGTTTCCCAGGTAGGCTCTGGGAGCAGTGACCTCTTGGACTATGAAAGAGTGAGCAGTGTCTCAGGGGTTTATACACATGCAACTGTGATCCTAGAGAGATGGGTAAGGCCTGGGGCTAGTACCAGGTGCAATGAGTCCAGTTTTAAAGGTGGAGACCCGGGTTGAGAAACGAGCCAGTCTGGAACCAGGGATGGTGAGGCTGAGGGTGTGCTGTCACCCAGCTCCCGGTCCCCCTCAAATGGTCCCCACTTGGAACGCCTGCCTGTTCATCAGGCCTTCCTGCTGGCAAGAGTGAGTCATGTGGAACGGTATCAAGGGACCTTGGTGTTCGTCTAAGTCTTGCTCTAAATCGTAACTCATGTGATTAGTCACTGGAGATAAAGTAGGCACAGCACAAATTTTAATGAGATAGCTTTGGCCCAGGGGGAGGCAGTTCTTAGGTGTCTTAGGATGTGTGTGAACCTCAAGAAGATGGGGGCATTCTCTGGGCCCCTGGGATCCATTTCTTGGAGCAAAAGAGTTGGCCCAGAGCTCCTCCACCCAGCCTCCAGCAGCAAGGCCTCTCAAATAGAGGTTCTTGGCCTCCTCCTCAGGACTCAGGGCACTGCTGCTCACATGGACACCCACTAGATGCTCATTCCTGTAGAAGTGCCGGCCTGGGCAGGGAGGAGGACCCAGGTGGGAAAAGCAGGGAAGGCCAGCCCAGAAATCCTTTTACCCAGAAGCAGACAACCCCCTAATCCGGCTGGCAGGGGGCGGGGCGGCACATACAGGATTTGGCGATGGCTGTCACTGTCTCCGGGGCGCCCATCTGTGCGCGGGTGGAGGAGAGAGGGAGGAAGCCCTGCCATCCCCTCGAGCGCAGTGCGAGGCCCGAGCCGGGTGCCTCGACCCCCACGGCGTCCCCTGCACTCGCTCCAGCGCGGGCCTGTCCGGGGCAGGTTCACGGCAGGGCGTGGTCCGGGCCAGGTCGCACGCCCTTCTCGGTGCGCGCCGGGGGCAGAGCCGGGACAGCGCCATCCCGCCCCCACGCCCGCTGACCTTGGGTCGGGCGCCCCCTCACCTGACGCTCCCGCGGCGCGGCTCCCCCGCCGAGCCC